AATTTTTAAGGGTCCTTATAAAGCTCCCTCTCCTGAATCTCTACGCATACGGATCATGCCATCTTTCTTTGTTTTTCATTGTAACAAAGGCGTTATCAAAAGCACGGCAGCCAATCTTGCCAGCAGTTCAGCACCTCAGTCCCTGCCACGCCTCCCTCCCGTTTAGCTTCTGGGCAATCTTTTTTTTTTTATTTTTTGGCGTGTGCTTAAGCAGTCTATTCGCTCGCTTGCACAGAAATTGTTTTAAATGGCGTTCCTTTTTACAAAAAAGGAAAAATTCTAGAAATTTTGCAGCGGTTTTTCGAAAATACAGAGTGAAAGTGACTAGGTTTGAACGAAAAAAGAAATAAACTGAGCAAAAAATATTAAGAATGCATTCGTTTTCGAAGTTAGAGTTTTCCTGAGTTCTTCCAGCCTTTTTTCTCTTGACCGTTTTTGTGCTGTATTATTTTTGGCACAAATTTCTCGTCATTCCCAAGCATCTTCAAAGTGCTGGACTGGAGCCCACCACCTCTGCAGTACCACTGTGCTCAATATGGTGCTGAACGGATGTCAAAACACAGTCAGTAATCAACGCAGGTCAGTGAAAGTTGGATGCGTCGGAGAGTGCTGCGGAATAATTGCTAGAGTTCCTCTCCATAATCAAGTAAGCAGCCACTCCGCCTAGTGAGCGGCGGAGGTAAAAAAAGTTAAAAAAGAACAGCCACCAGGCAGCTCATGTTGCTCTTCTTGCTGACAGGCAGTAGACATGGAGTATTAATGAATGGTATCCGGTGGGAAAGAAAGACCTCTTGAGCTAACTTCAAGGGCCGGCACACGTACATCGAACAAACCGTAAGTGTTAACTGAAGGTATGCAGTTCAGGATCGAAGGTCTGGGTATAGCTTTTTCCTGCGTATGGGCCATTCCAGTAATACCACTAGCATGGGATCTTAACAACGGTTGTCTGTGGGATTTCGAAAACATTATTTTTGTAGTTAACATGAACAACATTTGACAGGTTTTTGTGCATCTAAATAAACTTAAGTGATCCACAGGTGGTGAAGCCAAAGAAAAAGAAGTTTCAAGTGGAGGACCGCTTGCATCCAAGTGTTTTCATTGTAGTTCTCGATTCAACATCGTCTTCATCCGCTAATCGCTCAATGCGACGCACCAATCAGGCAGTGTTCCACAAATTTTTTTCTTTTGATTTTGTCTTATTTCTTTTTCGTACCTGTAGCGGAGCTCACTGCTGGTTTAAGTCATTTACAAGGACAGAGGAGGAAGGGCCTATTAGTTTTGTATGCTGTTAGCTTTCAAGACTGCAAGAACTGCTCGGTTAATCAGTAAAGACACAAGGACTTACTGGCGCTAGTGAGATAATTAGTGTCAAGCGTACTTACTCTAGTCTATTTTCCCTTCAGTGAGCATCGTCTCCTACACTGCCCATTCGCCTTTTCAGAGATCGCCGGGGCGTTCTTTTTCCTTCTTGGGGATGCAATTTCATCCCGCAGTTGTTAACGAAACTAGCAGCTCTCACAGTTAACGAAACTAGCAGCGTACGACGCTTATCAGGGCTTACTTTCTCTTGTGGTTGTAGTAATTTCACCAATTATCTGATGAGAAGTTTGCCTGCGTGGTTGTCAGGAAATATTTCAAACGTCCTGAAAGAGCGGTAGAGAAGAAAATCAGGTGTCACTTGTTTTCGGCAAAAGTAAAAAATAAAACTTCATGGTTCGAAATTTTTACGCCTTTCATTTTAACGTTGAAACGTTAATTTCAAAACATAATAAAAATAAAGCTGCGCTCTGCTGTCCGAAATCTGTCAGAAAATTGCGGATCTCTTTCGTGTAAGAAAGAGAACCGCAGTTTTTCGCCATTACACTATAGCTGCTTAAGTTAATCTTCCAAAAATTGTGATTCCTGAAACAACTGCTTTTAAAGAAAAATGATACTCCTTGACAGATTCCGTTGTTCCTTTAGCATACCCGGACAATAAATTGTGATTACAGCTTTAATGCAAGTTAACCGTCAATTCTTAGGAAGTAACAGGCAGTGATGTGGCTAGGATCCTTCCTAGAATGTATGTCCGAAAGATTCTGTAAGATATACCGCTGTCTATGTGGAAATATGGCTGCAACTATAATTAATTATTAATACTTGACCAGTGTCTTAGTAATATGCATTATGAGTAATGGAGCAGTCAACAGTCTTGGCAATGGGTGACTGAAGCTGACAGTACACTGTCAATCGGATCACTTCTGTATCTCATAAGACGTTCTTTTTTGGCTTAGTTGAATGTGCCGCGGTCACTGAGGCCAATTTGTTTCATCGCCGCCACAATAAAATGTTTTGCAGGTCCTCAAACACTACTACCAGTCGACCACATTTCAATATCATAACAAAGTTGGCCCAAATAGCCGTTCAAATGCTTTTGCTATGTTTTCCGGTTCGTTATCTTTCATAACCTTTTGATTTTTTGGTTGCGATCCCATCATAGACCATTGTTTCCTGCGATGGTTATCGGTGCTAGCGCATGCTAAGAAATGAAAAACTCCATCAGTTTGCCTCTAAGCAGTTCGTGGAAATGATGGCTCTTGATGACCCTGTCGGCAGATGGCTGCATCTGGTAACTTATTTATTACCAATCGTGTTGGCAAGGTTGGCACCGGCACTCCAAATGCTTTCTGGAGCGAGGTGCGGTTATTTTTCTTTCATTTTGCCTTCCGTCAAGTGAGAAAGATTAATGTGAGTGGAGTGAATGTTCAGCGTACCTTGAGGAACAATATTTTCCTTTTCAGGAAGCACCTAAAAATTACTTTCGGAAATTATGAACAGAATTTCACACGAAAGCTGCTAGCTGCAAAGAGAATCAAGCACCCAATTTAACATCATTTGACATTTCATCGCTTCAAGCAATCAAGTGGCATTAAGTTTCTACATAAATGTAACACGTATTCACAAGTGCCACTATGAAGGCGAAAAACGGTTAAAAAATTCTGTCGCAGCGTTGCTGCGCCAGAAACTAACTTTACGAATTTGCGCAACAGTCTTATAGAGCATTAATCAACGGTTTGTTCAGCAATTACTAAAACTCGGCTCGGCTCGGCACGGCTCGGCTCGGCTCGGCTGGTGTCTTACAC